TTTATCTGCAGATAAGATAAGGGATTATCCTTATTTATTAAAGAGAGTCCAGATCCAAATACAAGATTTGGATTAGGAAACTCCTAATGGGATTAGGAGAACCTCTCTTTAAGGCTATAAATAGAAGAGGAGGGCGAACCCCAATTCACCCAATCAGATTACTGATACAGGAGGGAAGACAGCTGCAGTTGGACTGACGCCATCTTCTGCTCTTGCCTTCTCCTATTGCTGCTGCCATTGCCAGTTCGATCTCCACCTGTAGGAGCGATCAAGAAAGGTTCTTGATATTAGTTTTTGGAGAAAAACTGATCTGAAGTCGTGCTCACTCGCCCTCCATCAGATTTTTGGTGAAGAATCAGGTTCTTGTTGAAGGACCACCCTACTGATTCTACTCTACCCTACACTATGTCATTTTCAGTGGGAGCAGTCTTTGGAGATCTCCTTGGGCGTGAACACCTTCATTGGGAGTTACTACTACTCTGTATCAGGTATATCCCTCTCCTACCTTTTGGTTTCAGATCTGGTTTGATTTAGGGTTCAAGATTGATCATTGAAAATGTAGTTTTCTAAAATAGGAAATGCGATTCGCAAATGGGAGAGAGAAAAATTTTTGAAATTTCGCCCAACCTACCTACAGGGTTTGGCTATCCATATGATGGATATCTCATCCATTCACCAAATTGGGTCAATTTTCACCCATTTCATCCAGTGGAGGAATCCTATAATAATAACAACTAAAAAGGTTTCCAAATTGGATCAATTTTCACCCATTTCAGCCTATGGTGGAATCCTACTGCTGATAACAGTATATCAGATGGGTTAACCTCTAGATTGATCCCTTGCCCAGATCAACCTTATTACAATGGTTTTCCTAATTTGTGCAATGAACCATTAGGAGTTAATTTTCCAAGTTAAAAATGTTCGTTAAGCAACCCAACTAGCAGACTGATCCAACAGAAATATGATAACAATAATAAGGAGAGGACTAGCTACTGATCTATCAGAAAAGAAGACAAAAATGATGAACCAGATAATTTTGATGGTTGAGAGGTCATCAAGAGGCTTCACTAATATAATTTATCTTGAATGGTCAATCCAAAGGTTTCCCTCTCAGATGGGGCAGTTTGGATGGCCACAATATCGGTCTCTCAACCTGACAAAAATAAGGTAACTTTAATTGCATATAGAACAAAAATACACTAGATCCAATTAAGAAACCATTTACATAATAATAATTAAGGAGATAATTAATGAGAAAAGTAAGGCAAGAGTGGAAGAGAAAGAACCCTTTGTAATAATAGCGCAATTCTATAATATAAAAACCAAACCAAACTGAGAGTGGGGAAGAAAGAGAAATATTGGAAACAACTCACATATTATCATTTAGATGATGCCCTCCGAAGTTGCCCTTAATACCTTGTAATCAGCTGTCTTTCCCTCCACCCTCAAAAGTACCAATTGGCAAAGGGTTTTATAGACAACGGCATGTACAAGTGCCAGAACAAACTAAGACTAATGATGCTTGTGCAACACTTTGAATGATCCTAAGAGGAGTAAAGTACTATGTAGAATTTGAATTGAGTGCTAAGTAGGGAAAGACCTAATATATATAAAGACACCAAGACTGTAGAATTTGAATTAACTGAATTAAGGATAACAAAACAGTTCATTAATTTATATATAGCTTATTATTAGTAAAGAGTACAGTACTTGGATTGAATGAATTAAACATGGTATTAGAAGTTTAGAAACATTACTGTAGTAGCAATGGGATCAAAAGGAAAATTATGTATTTATTTATATAAACAAAGAAAATTATGCATTTTATTCTCTCAATCTAGCGAAAGGATAGAAGTTAGTACTTACATAGCATCCTATCTTATCTTATCATTCTAAAGCATCTTCTTTATGAGCTCAATTTTCTTTATTCCTGTTCAATTTTAAAGCCAACTGGCTAGCGGGGACCCATGCGATGCATGGGAAAATCTAAAATATTTAATAATTTTATTTATTATTAATTAATATTAAATTAATAATCAAAATTTATTGTTAATTAATTAAAAGTATTCAAAGTTATTGTTAATATCTAAAATTTTAATAATTGTATTTTCATTTAATGTTGAGTTATAGAAAATTATTATTGTTAATTTAATATGATCAAATATTTTTTAATAAATTTAGTTTTATTAATAATTTATAGTAATTTTAATAATTGTTATTATTTTTAAACGAAATTTTGATTAATTTTAGATAAATAAAAATAATTATAAAAACTAACATTTTTATTAATTTCATTAATAATTAACAATTATATAGGAATGACAACGGGGTAGGTTCAGGGCGGGGCACCCCATCCCTGTCCCTGCCCCATAGTCAAGGCACTCTACCCCATCCCCGCCCCGTCCCCAGTGTCAGGTGGGTTCAAGTTAAGGCAACCACACCTCAATGTTGGGCGAGTTCAGGGGCAAGGCACCCCACTCCTTATCGAGGATGGGGAATCCTCGAATTTCCTCGCCTCGTCCCCAGTATTGGGCGAGTTAAAGTAGAGGTGTAAATCGGGTTGTGTTGGGCCGAGCCTTGGGCCAGGCTAGGTYGTGGACCGGGCCAAGCTATGAGAGATCCATTTTTAAAAAAATTGAAAAAGATGTTTAAATTTTATTTCATATGATTTTTATTGTATACAATTATTTATATGTACAATTAGACCTATTCATGGGCCAGGTATCCTGATGGTCCGGCTTGTCCTAACCCGTTATTTTTCAAGCATGGACAAAATTTCAGGTTGTGGGCTCGAGCTCAGGCTTTCTCAAATAAGCCCGACCCGATACTATTACATATATAAAAAAGTACTTATGTTATAATATATATATATATATATATATATATATATATATATCGGGTTTGGCGCATTTCATGTAACAGTTTGTATGGTCCTGGCATATGGGTGTCCGATCCTTATGGACTAACTGGAAAAGTACAACCTGTAAATCCCGCGTGGGGTGTGAAAGGTTTTGATCCATTTGTTCTGGGAGGAATAGCCTCTCATCATATTGSAGCAGGGACATTGGGCATATTAGCGGGTCTATTCCATCTTAGTGTCCGCCCGCCTCAACGTCTATATAAAGGATTACGTATGGGCAATATTG